TCATATGAGTGACAGTGATGACTGCAGCAGATTTGGATCGCTTAAAATGCAGTTTGTGGTACAAGGTTGCAAAACTCATCAAAAAAGAGCAAACACATAGACACAGTAAATATTTTTGATTTGGACAACTTGGTTGGATAAAAGTTCAATTTGCAGTATTCTTTTTTTTTTTTTGTATTCTTATATGTTAACATTGGTCATTTGGCTGTTTGTTTACCTGTGACGTGTTTATTTTTATGTCCTCATTTAGCTGGTCACTTAGCCGTTTCTTTTTTCTGTTTAGTGAGTAAGTGCACTGGTACATTTTTTTTTTCTTTTATAGACATCTAATCCTGTAACTCAGTCTACTATATAATACAAAGATGTACTGAATATCATTACAGAGATCCCTAAGACCTCCACAAACACTGGTCAATAGTACACAAGCTAAGAAGAGTGATGAAGCTCTAGTTCTTTAGCTACAACTTTTTGTCAAACTCTGCTCCAGCTTAGCTCCAGGTCCTGCAAGGAACTATAATAAAACTATAATAACCTAAGGAAAAAGCACATTTTTAGATTCAATGATGATGGTGGTAAAACTTATTTTTGGTTCTCGTACATGTCAAAAGTACCGTACATTTGGCCTCTATAAAAAAAGTTATTTACCATCGTATAATATTGTGTAACCTGCAGTATTGCCTCCACAAGTACAGGTGGCAGCACCGGTATAGCCTAGCAAATTCCAGACAGAGAAGCTACGACGACAACAACGGTGCAGTGTTTGCAGGAGTTACAGTCGTAGGTAGATTAGCCTGTAATTTCGAAAATTTTAAAGTCTTTTGTCGTGTACATAAAAAGCAAAACGCTAATGACAATCGAATTAATATCAAATGTCGTGTAGAGTGCATGTCCGCTCGTTTACCGTTCGTTTTAGCGGTGAAGCTAAGCTAATAGAACGTTGCTCCAGTTTACGTGTGTGAGAGTGGGTGTGTATCCCAAATATCACTTTTATTTTGCGTGTTATTAAATTAATGTCGCTTTATTTTTAGCGATTTCAATTTAACTCTTGTCTCTCTTGTTTTGTGTGCTTCGTGTCCTCATCTACAGATTAATGCTATTTCACCCACCTTTTCTCATTAAAAAAAATGGATCCAGATTTTACAGCTCAACTGTCGCATCTCGGCTGTGAAAATGGACACAAGAGCTTTGAAGAACCCATATCGAGACTACGATGGGAGCCCTGCGGCCACATATGGCCTGTTTGATTCTCACGGGAAGGTAATTTACAGTATATGGATATGTATGTGTAGGAGAGATAGAATTTACCAAAATTGTTTTTAAATTTTCTTCACCTTCAGCTCACATCAGAGTTTGCCCAGAGGCTGAGTATCAAGATCAAGGAGCTTTTAGCCATCATGGAAGAGGGACTGAAGTCAGCAGATCCCAGAAATTGCACCAGTTACACAGGCTGGGCAGGTATGTACAGTTGTTAAACATCTGTAATTTAAACAAAATGTTAAGGTTCTTTGTGGAAAGAAACTGCACAGATGTGATTATATTAAAACTCTAGCAGTGTTATGAATTAAAGGCTTTTAATTTTGCTTCATACATATACATACATATATACAGTATAAAATAGTATAGTAGGTATTTTATGTGTCCATCAAGGTAAATGGTGGCTTCCTATTGCAGTATGGTCAGGACTAGAACACCTTTTTGAAATATTTGTGAATATCAAACTGATTTTAAGATGCAAAGGTTACAGTCCTTGCATTACCTGACTTTTGTCCAGAGCAGTGTAACTTTAACATGATAAACAGTTCTTTTTTGACCTTCTGTTTGTTTCAAGGCATTGCTCTACTCTACCTGCACCTCCACAGTGTGTTCAGAGAGGAAGCCTTTCTCCTCAGAGCTAATGAGTACGTCAGCCGCAGCCTCCAATGCCTAACCAGACGCCATGATGTCACGTTCCTTTGTGGTGACTCAGGACCACTGGCTGTGGCTGCTGTCGTATACTATCGCATGCAGAGGGTGCAAGAGTGTGATGAGTGCATCAACAGGTAGTTGTAAAGGGAATTTTTTTTTTTTTAGAACACAGAATACTTTACTTATAATTTCACTTATTTTCTTTCTTTCTTGACAGACTGCTGCAGGACTACCAGCGGGTGGTGAAGGGATCAGGCGAGCTGCCAGATGAGCTGCTGTATGGCCGTATGGGCTACCTCTACTCTCTCATCTTTATCAACCAGCAGCTGGGGCAAGACAAAATCCCACTGCAGTACATTCAACAGGTGGGTTAAAACTGGGAGAACTTTATTATTAGGTTTCTCCTGGGACGATCTTGTCCCCAATTTGCTCTGTTTACACACATCCCTCACTGATTTGTAGCACTCAGACGAATTTGAATTGTTTTTGTTTACCTGTGACGTGTTTATTTTTATGTCCTCAGATCAGCGAGGCTGTGCTGGTGTCAGGGGAGCACCAGAGCAGGAAGTTCAGGATTCAGAACCAAAGCCCTCTGATGTACGAGTGGTACCAGGAGCATTATGTTGGCGCCGCCCATGGCCTGGCAGGCATCTATTACTACCTGATGCAGGTACACAAGGACACTGATTAAGATTAAAATCAACTTACGCGTCTTTACCAGTACGGTAATTTCATTTTTAGTTGCTTCATTTATATTCAATATTATTATAATTGTCAGTAAATACTTTTCAGGTGATCAAGTGTGGTTCCTTAGTGTAGTTGGGTGTTACTGTGTTCGATTCCCAGAGACCTGCATACCTAATAGTGCCTCCCCGGGTGGCCTGTCCTGCTTAGACTCACTGTGAATTCACCCATTGTGGGACAAATAAGAGATTATTAGTAAAACCATTTTACTTTTTAAGACATATTTCAGAGTTTACCATCCTAATATTATATTGATGCCAACAGATAAAGAAAGTGAATCATTTATTTTTTAATGTCTGATGCCTGCAGGTTGTGCCATCTAGTACTTGTACACAGTTGATATTTTGACCTAATAATGCAATGTAGTCAGAACTCTTCCACCATAAATAAGAATTTCTTTTTAAATAATAATATTAGATTTAATGCATAAGAATGGGTTATTGTGATAAAATGTACATTTTTACAGATACCTCATAGCTCTCTGCCATTCTAGGGCACACCGGCCAAAAATAGCAGACACAGATGATTGTCTCCTCAGCCCTGTTACCACTAGTCTACAGGGCTTTTAAGGAAAAAAAGTAAGATGGGTGACTAATGTCTGCCAAGCAAAAATTGTGTTCACGTCACTTTGGACCTAAGAAAAAAACTAAGGGGGACAATGAATTACTATTCAGTATGGTTTCTATGGGTTAGTGAGTGAGTGAGTAATATTGGAGGTACACCTTTAATGATACATTCATGAAGCTGATGGCAACCTTTGTGGCTTGTTTCTCTCTCATGCAGCCGGGCTTTGTGTGCAGTGAAGAAAATGTCCTCCGGCTGGTGAAACCTAGCGTGGATTACGTCTGCCGACTTAAGTTCCCTACAGGAAACTACCCTGCCTGCATCGGTGACGAGCGAGACCTGCTGGTCCACTGGTGCCATGGATCACCAGGCGTCATCTACATGCTTCTGCAGGCACACAAGGTGAATACTGACTCATAATAAAACACTTCTAGAATCTGCTCTGACCATAAAAGTTGTTTTTTTAAAGAGTCACAGCACCATCCTGTGGTCAAACAGTATAACTAATAGATGCCACGTTGATGCCTTCAGTGACTGGTCTACATTTTTACCACATCTAGATTTTTGGGGATCCTCACTACCTGGAGTATGCACTGCAGTGTGGTGAAGTGGTCTGGCACTGGGGTCTGCTGAGGAAGGGCTATGGTTTGTGTCATGGTGCCGCAGGTAACGCCTACGTTTTCCTGGCTCTCTACCGGCTAACACAGGATCCCAAGCACCTTTACAGAGCCTGTATGGTAAGATCAAGTTTTTTTATTATCTTTGTTTCTAGTGATTAAGCTACTAATAAAGGAACTTGGGATTTATTTAATATTTAAAAATAAAACAATACAATAAAATCTTGGTGGTTTTTTTTGTTTGTTTTTGGGTTTTTTTTTTCAGAAACATGGGCCTTTAGCATTCAGATAGGCTTATTAAAAATATCCCAGAGAACTTAAGTTAACAAGTGGTAATCGAACATTAGGTTAGTTAGTTAACAAGGTTAGCTATAATTAGCCCGCCGGCTTTAAGGCAACCTAGCTAATCGAGCAAGAAAAATCAAAATAAAATCTTAACATTGAACCAGAGTTAGCTCAGGAGATCTACTAAGTTAAGCTATCTACTTACTCTAGTAGAACTGGCTATGTCAAGTGGGCTACACAACAGTGCTGCCTTTATGGCCCTTGGACAAGGAAAGTCACTTCATGTGAAGGGTGTTAAATTAATAACTTAATGTCAAGCCTTATGGGTTGTACTGTACAACGTGAGCCACTAGGTGGCAGTGTTTTACTCTACTAAAGCTTTTGTTTCTAGTCGTCTTGCACGTGTCTCAGACAAAAAAAACCAAACTAGTAAACGGTTGATGTTGAGATACAGAGAGTTATAATCAGTTCAGACAGTGAAGCATGTGTCAGACAGAGACGACTATACATTTCTAACAACGGCGGCTAATGCTGAAAGGCCTAGTCAGTCAGCAACGCACTATCTTTGGATGCATTCCAGGTGGACCGGCTCCTACACCTACGTTTATTAATATGAAACTACTCACAGTAGATGGATATAGATTTTGTCTGTGTCTGGCCCTGAGCTCACTTGTGGAACTGAGTGACATTCTGGTCATAATCTGATATTCAGGCATCTCACATTTCACAGGAGAAGATCACACGTTTAAGCAGTTGTTGACATTGCTCGCCAGTCTCATTTCAGCAACAGCGCTCTGTTGTTGTTGTGACACAAGAGTAATGTTGTTATCACTCTCTCCCCGTCTCTCTGAACTGTCTCCTCAGTTTGCTGACTGGTGTATGAACTATGGCAGACACGGATGCCGAACACCTGACACCCCGTTCTCCCTTTTCGAAGGTAAAACCCGGTTGTTTATTTAAGGGGGAAATGTACAGCTAACAGTATGAAGTAACGTATATTTTGGCAGCATAAGGTCACTGAGAGGTAGAGCCAAGTCGACACTGAAGGTGATTATATTACATACTTTAAATGTACTAGATTCTAATCGAATAACTTATTACTTAAGAAAATATGCAGAAGTTTTAGACATATGTGTTTCTTTGTGATGACAATGTCGGGTGTTTTGACTGTAGACACATGAAGAAAAATTTAGCTTCAAATTACTAAAGATATGGTAAAATAAATAAAAGTGAGCTAAAATAAAATAAGGGAAAATATCAGCCACTAATAGTTAAATAATTGTAAAATTTGCTTTAAAATTTCACTAAAGATTCACATTGTATTTCAAAGGTGACTTAATATAGAGAGAAAAGAAATCAGTCCAATGAGCAGAGTCTCACAGGCTTGAATTTAGGGTCGAAAACCATAAGAATGCACAGAAATCTTGCCATTGAAATGTATTCACCAGAAAACTTCCTGTTTGCAGGCATGGCTGGCACCATCTATTTCCTGGTCGACATTCTGCAGCCTGCGAAGGCCAGGTTTCCAGCTTTTGAGGTGTAATATGTTCTCCACCTTGCTGCAATATGACAAGTGAGAAGATTCATGTTGCTGCTCTCTCTGATGTCTCATCATCTGTCTCAGTAAACTAATCTCCAAGGACCTGAAAAAGTTACACCGGAGCTCGACGTTGAGTCGTGCTCCCGACATTTGTGCCATGTTTCTGCCTGCTCTTCACCACGTTGTAAGCTTTGACGTGCTATTGAAGAGATGTGCCGTGTGTGCTGCTTGTGATTGTTTTGGGCTCTATAGAAAAGAAATAGCACTTGTATTCTGTAATGAGTAAGATGGGATTTTTTTTAAGGCTTTATAAAACAATGTTTTCGTTAGTTTCCAAATGCTTTTGTTTAATATTTCAAACATTCTTTCTTTTTTTGATGTTAAGTTTTTTAAACATTAGCACTATATTACTTGCACTAAACTGTCTGAGCAAATTTCTGTCTTTTGGTGTTGTGTCAAAGGGGGGCAGCAGTGAGAAAAAAAACTTTGCAACTAAATATGCTTAATAACTTAAATCTACTCATCAAATAAAGTACAGTGACTCAATAAATCCAGTCGGTCTCCAAACAGTTTTTCAATGTCAAATTCAATGCTGACTGTGTTGAAATCTTTATTTTCAGTGGGGAGTCCTATACTTCTGGTGAGTATGATTTGGTTTTAAATGTCCAAGATCCTCTGTTTCTTCCTCTGTGGGAACTTTTACCTCAACTGGTCCAGCCTGTATTCCAAATAAGGCTTATTTAAGGACGACTTAAAAAAAAAACCATGCAGGCGACACAATGCCACTGCACTTTTTTAAGGTCCCCCCTCCCTCTTTATGACCACCACCCTCACGGGCCGTCCCATGGGGAATGGGCCTGTGGGTGGAGGTAAGCACGGAAGCCTTGAGGAGGAGAACGGAATGGCTCTTTTTTTTTTTACCTCCCTCCCCTCGAGAAACCGAACACCTTCCAAGCAGGAGCAGGCGTATAAATAGTGTTCATCTGTCCTTGGGGTGTGGCCCCCGTCACACATCTTCACTTACTCCTGCAAAAGTTTTAACAGCAGCAGACATTTCTGTACGACAAGCCTGCTGATAAGAGGGAGCTGTCGTAGACTCACAGCTTCACACTCTGGAGGATTTATCTAATCCACTTTACACCGACACTGACCCTCAGTCATGTTTCACTACACGTAGTAGTTATGAAGTCAAAATGAATAAAGTTGAATCTGTGACAGTAGAATCTAAAATTATTAATATCAGTATTCTTATTTTTTCAGCAGACATTGTTTGGTGTCACTGCAACAATGTTAGAACCCAATGTCTAAAAAAATGTATTTTGACAACAAGGTCACAGTAGTGACATTCTGGAAGGTTCCTCACATATAGAGATGGAGGTCTTTTGGTTTTAAACTGAACATTTTTTTGAAATTCTCAAAGCCATCTATTCCTAGAATTTAAACATATAAAGTTTTTATTAGACACTGGACATTTATCATTGTAGTATATGAAAACAATAACTTTGACTTTGTTATATATACAGGATGAAAAACCAGCTATGAAATATTATGTACTCTGTTTACACATTTTTTATTTTAGCTTGGTTTCACACCAAAGATATTAGTATCAGATAAAGACAACCCTAAAATTTAAATATATATATATTTTAAATGTCTATTAGTATAGAAAGATAGTTAAGAGAGGTCACCAGGTGTGCTGTGGTAAGTCATGTTTCAATTAAATGATCTACTGTAAAAAGTATTACTTCACTGAAAATGAACCTGTTTGGATTTTTCTGTGTTATCGTAACAGGCAGAACAATGAAATATGCAGAAACCCAGAATGAATTAGGAGGGACTTCGTGTTTGTGTCTTTCTTCAGTCCCTGCAAACACACCAGTGTTGTGTGCAACTAAACCCAGGTTTAGTAAAGTAAGTGAATTCAAACTTCATCAAAGATCATTGTATTTCAAAACATACTGTATACTTTTGTCACATTTTTTTTTGGTGGTGCATCGTGGGAATTGTTTAATGTAAGGTCGGGAAACAAAAACTCAAAACTTATTATCCAATCAAGTCACTCCAGGACTTTGATCTGTTACGTTTTCTCTTTTATACTGGTATGCCTTCAAGCAAAAACAGGCCTTTTACAGTGATTGTGAACTTTATTTAAAAGCTTAGATTATTTTATTTCAAATAGAGGGGAAAAATCTTTAATTCTATCATTCTCATACCATTCATTGATAGAAATCTCAATACTATTGAAAGAATCAGAAATTCAGTAGAAAAAACAGTTTTTGTCATTCCTAAATGAACAGTTAAATCACTAAAATAATTCGAAAAAATAAAAAAAGTTTTTTTTTCCCATCTATAATCAGGGGCCAGATGGAAAGGAGCCACAGGCAGTATTTTTTGCAGTAACTTGGAAATAGATTTTTGCATTAAGTATTTTGATCTCATATATTTGTATTCATCTGTTTGAAAACAAAAACTTCATCAACATTTCATGCCAAGATGACAAGGACTATGTCAAAATTCCCAAATAGTTCCAGAATATGAATTGGCCAGTTATTCATCATGGAGGCTGCATCTCCACTGCAGTAAAACACACCATTATCAGAATGGATGCACTGATTAAAACATGTGCAAGCTGTAAAATGTGACATCAAAAAGTCAAATGCTCACAGCAGGAGTGTTCTGCGTAATTAATCTGGGCTCATTCACATGCAAAACGCACAGTGGTCTGCTCATAACCAGTAATGGGAAATGACATAAAGTGCATGAATGGCAGAGATGATGGCGTGTGGATGGATAATAATAAAGCTAATTATACACTTTATTAATTATGACTGACACTCTTCTATACTCCATAGATAATTATGCCAGCTCTCTCTATATTGGATATATATATATATATATATATACAGGGGGTCCTTGACTTATTCCGTTCCTACAGTGCAACATTTTCACTTCTCTCAAAGTCAGAACTCACATACTGTACATCAGTACCATTGTCACTCACCGACGCTAACACAGTGGTAACATCATAATCTAGGACATAAAAACATCAGAAGAGTCTGACTTACACTTGGGAGCCATAATGAAGGCCCTAAAGAACATTAACCTTTTGTTACCAGACAGAAATCCAACCACTGTATCCACCAGTGAACTTATCTGAACGATGAGCCTCAACTTCATTTCCAGGTTAAAGGTTTTGACCTTGACTGTGTTGGCACACATTCTGAATCTCAGCTTATTTTGCTTAACCTAAGAATTGTTTTAATATTTTAAGTTGAAACTGTATAAAATAATAATCTAAATAAAATCTAAACTGTTAAATACATTTCCCCATCATATTTATTAGTAATTATTCAGCTTTCTCAGTTATCTGTTCTACAAAGTTTTCATTGCATAACCTGCTCGTGACAGTTTCTCTGACTGAACAGAGTTGGTGTAAAATCCGTTAACTCGTTCCTATAAATGTAGAAAATTAAATAATGTATAGGTCACCTATACCTTATTTAAAAAATGTTACCTAAACAGAAGTAACATTTGAGGTGTTTTTTCTCTGCTCTTATTTAACCATAAGAGGAGGAGCAGGGTCATGAGGTTTAAAAATACTACCTTGTAAATGAGCTCCGTGGGCCTCCGGAACCTTCTGAGCTGGGACTCTCAGTGGTTCTGTGGCTTTACTCCTGCAAAAAAATCGTCTAGCAACTTTCTTTTTTATGAGAAATGAAAACAGGGACATTTTTTTCTACTGTAAATATATCATTTTAAGTCAGTTTGAAAAGTCTCAGATGCAGGCGTCGATCTTGACACACTTCTTTTGAGCTGCTAAAAATAACCCTGTCCCCTTCTAAAGGCTGACTCCCACTGCTTCACGGACACGCAGCTCTCCTTTCCGTTTGCCCTAAGAAAGTTAAAGATGTTCCAACGTGTCATCTGATCTCCCTCATTACCATACATGACATCACATGCCTGGGATAAATAAGAGGGGGCTAGGAGCATGGCTCAGGACCACTCTGTCTTGGGACTTCAGCTTCTCATCTCCTTTCTTTCCGCTCCCTGCAGCTCCTACTCTCCAAAATGGTGTGTACAAAGTTGTGCTGTGGACATATTTGTAGACTGGTGCCGATGGAGTTCTATTTTTTTTTGTCTTTTACTTACTTTTATCCAACCAGTGGTGATTATAATTTTCCTGGCATGAGCTTGGATGCAACCTTTCCAAAATAAGCCCAAAATCTTGGAGACTGGCATTTTTTAAATAATATGCTTTTTTTTTAAAAAGAAAATAGAGTTTGACTAGATTAATTGTGCAAGAAATCTCGTACTTTGGTTCCTGGACCACTGGCCATAATCATGACCACGTTAAGGCCCATTTATTATTTGTTAAATAATTAACTAATGTTATTAAACATACTCAGTCTGTGTACTCACAAATGCTTTGTTTTCTATTTTTTTGTGTTATGTATGTTTGTGTCTGTTTGTTTGTTTGTGTGCGACTTTTCCCTTTTGTGTGACAGGGTGACTTTTCAGCGGACCAGATTGAGGGTAAGTTCAGAAAAAGACCACACAAACTTCTTAGCTTTACCACAAAGATTAGAAATTCATACTGATTTGACCAAAAACAGGCTGCTGGGATGGGTGCACTTAGACCACATTGGTGGTAACAATTTAAAAAAATAAATAAATGAAAATGGAGGTCTTTCATGTGCAATACAAGAGCGAGACATTCCAGGGACTTGTCCAGTTGTCATGATGGATCTGACTTATGTCTATTCTAAGATAGGCCAGCGTGTTTCTGGCCCCGTGGCACTAACACAGCAGAGGTGCTAACCCTTAGCCAAGGTTTAAGACACAGGTGGGGGGAGTCGAGGGGTGAGGGTACCAAATGAACAGGACATCCTAGTGGTGCTCGGTACTTGTAATAACGTAGACAATTTATATTCTTGAAAAAATAAATTTTTAGGGGGAGGGGGTTTGTTTAGTGTAGATATGACTGATGTGTAGCTATTTCAATGAAAAAACTGCGTCTCCTGTACATTCTGAGACACTAATACCAGGTCCAGCTTTAGCAGTGGACAGTGCGTGTAAGACGAGGTGTTGATTACACCACGGTCAGCATTCTTATGTGGAAGGGGGAGGGGCGCATGTCTGTATATGGCCTGGGTCAAACCACTAGGGTATATCAGTTTGCCCCTGATGCCGACCAGAAATGTTACCCAATTGGAACCAACGGGTCAGGAATGGAGTGGGAGTGGGAGTGGGGGTGGACAGTCGGTACAGCTGTTCCCACTGTCGCTGTTCCTTTTCAGAAATCAAAGGAGAGCATTAATCTGGCAAAAAGGAAAGGGTCGCTGAGCGTTGGCGCCCCCTGGCAGGAGTGTCAAAACCCCAGTTAAAGACATGAACCTTCTTCTTCTTATGTGCTTAGCTGCAGCTGTCACTTAAATTACATCTGAACAATGACAGAAGGGTGTGGCCGTCACTTCACTTTGATCACTCAGCAGTGTGACATCACATACTGTAGCTGCCATGGCTAAAATAGCAACATCAGAATAGAAAAACGCAGATGCAATTATGGACTTAATTGTGTAATGTAACGAAGCTAATGAGCACCGTGCTGAAAAACAGGCTGTCATTTCACTGTTGTCAATGGTTTGAATCTTAAATCTTATCTCCTGCTTCTCTTCTCCTGACCAGACTTCAAGGAGGCTTTTGGTCTCTTTGACAGAATTGGTGACAGCCAGGTGGCCTACAACCAGATTGCCGACATCATGCGCGCCCTGGGCCAGAACCCCACCAACAAGGACGTCAACAAAATCCTGGGCAACCCCAGCGCCGAGGGTAAGGGCGCCACCAACTGTTCAGAACTCAGAGTACTCAACACAGTTATCAAAGATTTGGGATAATGAATGATTTAGTACCATATACTGTACGTGGTTAACAAACTGTACAGTCCATCTAGTGGAGTTTAAAGGCATTGCACATTGGCCAATTAATATTACCCTATATAATAAAAAAATCTAATTAGATTTGCAGTAAATTTGATAATTTAGGGTGATGAAATAATTTACACAAATCAACTGGAATTTAAGTGTGTTAAAACAAATGTTATTTTTTTCATTTTGTTGGTCATAAATTAGATATTTGATCAACTGATGCTCTTGTAAAAATAGCATCACAATGATCCAATATTTAATTTCATATATATATATATATGTGTCCCAGAGGGTTATGGGCTCTAATGATAAATCTTAGGGAGAGAAATTAGAAAAAAATAAAATAAATAGCGCAGGCGACGAAATGTGGTCATTTCCTGTTTGTCTGGTACAATGCCTATCTTGTCATCTTTGTGGACCCACAGACATGGCCAACAAGAGGGTCAACTTCGAGGCTTTCCTGCCCATGCTGAAGCAGGTCGACACCCTGCCCAAAGGTACCTACGACGACTACGTTGAGGGTCTGCGTGTCTTTGACAAGGAAGGCAACGGCACAGTCATGGGCGCTGAGCTGCGCATCGTGCTGTCCACTCTGGGTGAGTCTCAAGTCACCTTCCCTCGGTGCCTCTCCAAATATAGGCAGACACGCAAGCACACAGATATAGATTTCTTAGCATGAACAGAATGTGAAACCGACACTCTGCCGCCACCTGTGCTGACACGGATCCTCGTGCAACTGCAGGAGAGAAGATGAACGAGCAGGAGATTGATGCCCTTATGGCAGGCCAGGAGGACGAGAACGGCAGTGTGCACTATGAGGGTACGTCCACACGTCATGTCCTCTGTCCTCTTTGTCCACATTTCGTATGTGCAGACGGTTATGAGACTAAAAACACACGTGTCTGTCCCACCCCCAGCTTTCGTCAAGCACATCATGTCTGTGTAAGAGGCCGGCAGTAGGAGTGCTGAACCAACTGTAGCTCGTCTACAGAGAGCCCAGCAGTGTTCAGGACATCGACACTGTTTCAAAGACCAACAAGGAAAGACAAGGACTATGTACAAGGGATGTTGAAGCGAGCCCCACTTGTTGTTTATTTTGTTTTTCTGTAAACTACGTCTCAGACCGTCCTCCTCCTCTCTCTCTCCGGACATCGGCGTCATCTCTCCATTGTAGACCCACACCACTCGGCCTCTACTCCCCCCCGGGGCGCGTCTCCACTCTCCACATGGGGTGAGGAAACGGGGGAGAAGGGGTGACCACTCATCAAGTGAGGGTAGATCCCTCCCTTCCCACCGCCACCTCATTCAGTCTCGCTAACACTGGCCCAGCAATGCCAAAGGTGCTGGAGGATGGTCGTGGATTGACCGCCAAAAGTCTCCCCCTCCCTGAAAAGTTTTAGTTATTTTCTCACTGTTCATGTCAGAATAAACTTTTCCAACGTACATCCCATCTGGGTTGATTCTTGATCCTTCATTGACCTCACATTCTTTCAAGTCATATCGAAACCTAAGCACGTAGCCTGTAAAAAACAGCCACATTTAAATGTATTTAATTATTCTCCCAATTGTCGTTAAAAAATGACGTCACAGAAAATAACTTTTTTTACCCTGAAAAATATGTCTTTTAGGTAATACTGAGCTAACATATAGCTTTCTTTCCCATAGAACGGATCTTTGACTCCCAGAGCAATGAATGGAAATATTATCAGATTTCACTTAACGGGTCTAATTATTATTATATGTTTATACTGCAAATAATTTGTCATTTTTCAAGTATGAGACAGTGACAAGCGGCACAATGAAAAACCCGCCCACTAGATGGCGGCAGATGGCTAATTATGTATGTGTGAACCTTCTTCAATTTTAACTTAGAAACAAACAAATTAAACAAGAAGATAATTATATTTCATCACATTCTCAGAGAAAATATGAATATACCGTACAAACCTTAGTACTATTTTAATAGTTTAGTATAAATTCTTCCTTTAGGGGCTGTGTAGACTTGGGCTAAGTTGGTATTTTTATAATATGTGTATAATATATATAAAAATGTGTAGACCGTCTGTAATGATTACTTTACGGTCTTAGAGACACCCATGCATTTGTATATATGTGAATTGTATATAAAAGAAATGAAGCGTATTTTTTTCTTTCATGCATTACATAATCAGTACCACTAGATGACAGTAAATATTCATATGTTCTGTTCTGTCCATTCAGCTCACTATTGTTGAGGTTAAAAGTAAAACAAACGACAGATAGTAACCACAAAATGGCCACAAACATCAGAACGTTGTAAACCTTCTGATTTTACTTAACATTGAAATAAATAGGACTTATTTTAGATATATTTAATTCACTTTTACACTACATCCACATTACATTTTTGTAAATTGGGATTAAACAGGACTTGATTTCACATAAGTATTTCTCTGAGTGAATTTAAATTCTACCCAGAACTGGGGCAGTCAATTAGGTGACGCAGATGGCAGCCGTATAATTCTGTTGCGCAGACACTGTAGCCTTTACGGTAACTCAAGTGGCTATGGGAGGGACCATACCGCATTTAGTGTCACCAAGACTGTCTTCACATACACACACACTCACTCACAATCTCACACTCACACAGACGCACAGGGGTATTACTGGCCCTCGGCAGCCTCAACCTCCAGGTAAGATATCATGAGCATCTGTTCTGTCGTTTTCCATTCAGATGTGGAAATGCGCTCTTTACGCGAACATTGCAACAAAGTTCCTGCCGAAACTCATATTCAAATTTAAACGTTGATGCCCGTTAAACCTCAACTGTCGCCTGCATAGAGTGATGGGTAGTCATGTGTGCTTTTCAAATTAACGTCGTCTTTCCACGGAAGTGTTATTAGAATTTTAGCTTTATATTGTGTAATAACATACAGTATGTGCACGCTGATAAAAAAAATTTGTAAAATCTGCGCTGTCTGACGCTGTGTTGGCTGCTTCTGCCTCTGCTGCTGTTTCTGCTGCATCCTGCGCCTTTTGTTCTGGTCCACGCCTGCATGGTGCTGAAACCGGCACTGCTCAACACACAGCAACCTACTGCAATGCAACAGAGTCACCCCGGCCGAGTAAAAACGCTGAATTCCATCGGTAAAAATGACATGCTGCCCATTTTAGGTGTGTTTTGTGCATAAAATCTGTCGGATGTTTCATTTTAGGGACATACAGCGTCGGGAATATGGGAGTATCCCAGTTTGCATTTTGTCTGTCACAGCCCAGTTGCCCTTGCAGGCGTTTCCACCTTGCACCAGCGAATTGTAAAAAGGAATTATGCATTACCAGTGTTACTCATAGCTACTTCATTTAGTACATGTTGACATACATGGGCTGTGCCCATGTATGTCCTTAGAACTGCTTCATTTCAATGTGTTTCACTGGGAGCCGGACAGATTTTGCAATGGGGTTGTTTTGACCAATGAACCATTGACATCACATTTAGTCTGTTGCTTCACAAACATAAATGTGAAGGCCTGTTCATGTATGTAATAAAACAATTTGAAATCTTCTGATCTCAGTGACAGTTGGTAGTAGCCTTTAGGAGGCAGGTAAACTGTGATCAAAATGAGATAGACATGGTTGGCAACATTAGTCAGATTGTGCTGATATTTTAGCAATGGTTCCAGACATATACAGTTTAAGTAAAGAGAGAATGTTTAATGAACTCATCATTATGGATCTGTAGAAGATGAGATACAATGCTGAGGGAGGAAATGTGCTACTGGATGAGAAAATTGGGAGAGGCAGAGAAGTATGTTAGGGTGGTGCAGAACATCTACATGGAAAACTAGAAGGTGATTAAAAAAACAGCAGCTGAAAGAATCAAAGATGAAAATGGCAGAAGTCAAATTGTGGGTGGGACCATTATCATCAGCCTGAACCATTGATAAAAGATGAGATGGATGAATGATTCACGGATCCCAACATCAAAATGGAGCTCCATTGTCCATTTTCATTTCAGTTTGGGCTTAAAGTTGTTGTTGTTTTTTTGTATGATTCAGGGTTTGCAGCATTTGGGTTGTGTAGATATTGTGCAAGTGTAGGTATTTGTACAATTTCAGAAAATATCATTATTATTTGGTCCTGGTTTATATGGAGATGTGGAAATGAAGTAAACCCAATATGAGTGATATTTATCAGGTCAGTACAATCCTGATCTTTACAACAGTCAGAAGGTTTGATGAGTGTCTCTCAGTTCATCTTATCTGTTGCTTAAATGTTTAAAGACATTCCAATAGAAGCAACATGCCACTAATGGAACTCAGTGGCCCTAGTCAAGACCATCAGTTTTTAAGACACAATTAAATAATCTGAAATTATACCCACAACTCCCAGTGCCAAAAAAAAAAAAAAAAACAGTGGTTGATGGAGGTTGGCACAGTGCTTTGGAAAACATAAGATCTGTCCTAGGTTTTTACTCTCTCTGAATCTAATCATTCATGGAATATTTGGAATAACTTGGCAATCTTTGTTGGTATTATGTTGTGTAAGTATTGTTTCTGTGAGAAGGAGAAACATAGATTTAGTCATGTTCCTACTTTTTGACCAACAGGAAACCCAATCCATCCCCGTGCTCCTCCAGGGAAAGGAAAGTATATTTCCCCATGTCAGTTCTGGTTAGGTGCCCCGTCAAAATCCCGTAACCTCAGAACCGCTTTGTACATCACTGAAAATTAAGACACCACATTGTGGCCGTTGGTACTTCATGGGAAAGTGATTTTTTAAAAATATTGGAACCAAACATCAGTTACTAGATTTAATCTAAGAAATTTCTGTCAGTGACATTTAGATGACATTTGATATTTATAAAAGCAGATTAGTGCTTATGTTGTTCAGTACCAGCAAAGGACACTATGCGAATGATAGAGCTTTGTGGTACATTCAACATCACAGGTGTCCTATGTCTCCTTTTGTCTCAGCATACAGAGGTGCATTTTTGGTGCCAGTGTCTAAGTGGGAATCTCAGATATGTGCGTCCACACAACAAACTGCAAATAGCAAACAGCCCACGTACATGCGCTCACATATGTTTTGCTAAACAAGTAAATATTAATTGAAATATAGCCAAGAGTAAACTTGAGGCGGCAAAACAAATATGCTTGTGGTTTGTTTTTAGGTTTATAGTGTCAGATGAGCAGCAAAAAATATGTTAAGTTAGGAGTGTCGGAAACCAGTACAGAGCAAACATTTATTCCACGACAAGTCACTTTCAGCAGATGCAACAGCTCCATAAAGTGCAGGTGTACAGTAAGAGTGTTTTGAAGTGCATGCTGTTTAAGGCTCTCCTGATAGGTTAGATGTAAATCTTAATGTGTCCATTGTATCCATTTATGTGGATAAAACTGAAAAGTTAGCTTGCTTGCTAACTGCAAAACAACATATATATATATATATATATACTTTCCAAACATTTCTAATAAATGTTCTTATATTAAACAAGCTGAGAAGGTAGACCATGCTGCTGTTCTGTCCTGTGTTTTGCTTTGCAATGTTTAGCTTTCATGCCAGGGCTATTTTTAAAACCTAATCGTAGCCATCGTAGATGCAGCAGAAGCTGAGGGTTGTTACATTTGATGCTGTTGGTCTCATTTTCGGACTCTGACCTGGGGCCAACAGTGGGAAGAAACCGCTAATGAGCCTTAGCTTTCCCCTTAAATGGCCAGGGACTTCTGTTAGCCTAGTGTAGTGGCTGAACTGTACAGCGCAAAGCCTTTATGAGTTCCAGATGTTCCGACTAAACAGATAGACTATTTTCTCCTTTTTCCTTCTTGCAAACATGCAACTGGCAGTTATTGGCTAATACACTGGGTAAAGTGTGCTGCACCATTGAAAGAGCCTCATTATTGGAGTCCATATATTGTTGGGACAGAGAGGCTCCATATCCAGCCTGTGTGTTTATGTGTGTTGTAACTTTAAAGACTGGAGTAAGATGTGTTTCAAATAGGTCTCAAAGGAATCAATGAAGATTGCTTCTCAGGGCCTATGAGCCTCCAGAACTAAGCCAGAACACACAGTACCTTAACTGTAGTACTGTGTGCATGTATATGATGCTTGGTAGTGTCCGTCTCTCTGCATCTGCTGGTCAGAGGCTCAGGGGAGTTCACGGAAACCCCCAAATATGTAGGAACGTGACACGGAGCCACTGTGTAAATCTGTGTGTGAAGCGCAGAAACAGATGCATGGATGGTACATCCTGCTCCTGTAGGTCCGCCTTCAACTGCACTTGTAGAAACACACAGTAGCCGACTGTGTGCAGCCAAAGTCTTGGCCAGCTTCCAGGAAGGTTGACCACCACTGAATGAGGGCTAACGAACACATCCAACATCCGCTCTCAGACAACAGGCTGTTTTTTGCAAGTAGTTTTCAGCCTTCATTGTTATGTGTTTGTCTTACATTTAGCAATGGGATTTGAGGGGGTTTATTTATTTATTGTTAGTTTGACTATTTATAAGACATTTTTGACCTAAACATTTGACATCCATTTAATGTTTTAGTTGTTGTCCTCACTAACACTGACTTTTATCTCTATAGATAAAATCATTTAAAATCATCATCAAGACACGCATATGGGTTATATTGAATTCAAATGCTTCAAAAACTGTAGAAAATGACTTTCAGAATTATCCCTTGTCAAAGTGCTGCAGGCCTCAATCAAACACTTCCTGTATTCTCATTCTGTCCCTTCTTTTAACTGAGTTGTTTTGAAGTGTCTACTGTTCCTGCAGCCCCCAGTGGGACCATCATGGGCCCCCCTCACCACGGCAACCTCTCCCATGGAAACTACCCTCTCAAAGGAATGACCCGTTTGAGTACCAGTGTGTAGACACTATGTGTGGCTCTTACTCTCTCCTTAGTAACAAGATACAGACAAGAGATGAGAAAATAGAATAAAAGCACCTTTTTGCATTTTTTTCTTATTCTTTTATTTTCTAGTCTACTTTCCTCTTCTTACCAGTCTTCTTGTTGATTAAAAATGTTCCACTATTTTTGAACAAAATTCAATAGGTTCAGTGCAAATGAGGAATGACCAAATGTGTCTCACATCCCACCATTACGGGTGAGATGTGAGACACATTTGACCTCACATCACCTCAATAAATCACAGACTATAAATCTTGTTAAAAAAAAAAGCGGTCCTATTGGCTTAATTTCAAGGCATCAACAGATGGTTGAGGAGAAAGATTGATTTACATACCAGCTATTTGTCATTTATGCAACAGCTTATTAATGTGTAAAACTTTCTAGACCAAGGGTGTCAAACTCATTTTCACTCGAACAGTGATACAGTGAAAAAATGTACTTAATTTTTACTGATTTACTTCATTCAAAGAAAATCCAGTCATATCCATTTACTTTATTTAAAGATAATCTGGCAATATTTAAAAATAATAGGTCATTCAGAAATGTATTGATGCTCAGCACCTTGGTACAGGTCTGTAGTAACAGGTGGCACTGCCTGACCAGTCCTTGGAACAAAAAGGTTGGGGACCACTGGTATAGATGTAACTACTCCATAACAGACCAATACATGTTTCTGCAAATTTTAGATTATGATTTGATTGATTTTAATTGGCCCCTGGGCCTTGAGGTCTACACGTATGCTCTAGGCTTTACCGTCTCTTATACATTTAACTTAATG